TAGTTCACAGGTAGACAGGCTTGTAATATAACCAGAGGAGCTTATAAGCGGCGGTTTATGGTATAAATGTGTCTTTGTAGGATATGATATTTTGTTTTCCAGTCTCGATTTCTATCAGTTCCTCGGCAATAACATTGGTTCATGTCGAAGAACGATTTGAAATTTACATTGTTTACCATTAGCAGCTGACATTCTTAATTCTCTTCTAAAGTAAGATTCTGATAAATATGATCTGTGTGGGAAAAAAGCCACTGTGCAACTCTAAATTTAGCCCGAAGAAAAAAAAAAAATCAAAGTTGTCCTCTGCACGGTCTCTTTATTACACTTTATTTCTGTTTTGCTTATGTGTATTTTTACTGAACCAAACCCAACCCCCCAGCCCCTCCCCCTGGGCAGTCCGCAAACAACGATGGTGACATTGCCCCTCAAAATTGACTGGCACCGTGAAACATCTCAACATGAATGTTAAAGTTGAAAAATGGCTAATCTTTATCAGTTATTTACCCCCTCCTATCCCCGACTCCACGTTATGAGACAAAAGGAACGATGAAGGATCTCTTTTTGAAAATTCTTTATTATGATCCCATCAGCATACAGCTCAGCTCAGCAGAGCACCTTAATTTTTAGTTGCATTTTACAGATTCATTGTAAAAATGTTAATTATTTACTTTATCTAATTCCCCCATCACCTGTGAACCACAAAAGTGTTCATGCTGCTTGTTTTAAATCAAAAGGACTCAAAAACAAATGCTTGGGCTTCCTTTACTGGAATTGCATTCCAGGTCTCGTTCAATCTTTGCTGACTTGGCAGTAGTGGAACGACCAGCGACGATCCCTAGAAAAGGTGAATGTAATCTATTTCTTAAACGTTCTCGTCAGGAGCATATTAAAAAACAGTGTGTATTTAAGTGCTGAAAAGTAAACAGTGACCAAAAGAAAATAAACACATAGTGGCATTAGCTGACATTAATGATTGTAATAGCTAAGGGCTTGGTAAGCAAACAACCAGGGCAGTTCAGTAGTGAATTGATCTGCATCATCACATCGTCAGCAGAGGAAAGGAGGCCCATAGTGAAATAGCGTCGATAGATGACTATCATAAAACACCACTGGATATTATTAACTGTCAAAAATCTGGATTCAGACGGAAATCGCTGGTTTTAATACTGGTTAGCAAAATGCACGTGTTTGCCCATGAAGCTGAAACAAATTTAAAATTGTGATATACACGTATGTTTCTTGAAGTTGATTTGTAACAGACTGCTTAGCCTAGTCCGAAACTGAACAGATACTTACTGATAGTAATCAACATGGTAACTGTTAACTCCCACCAGGTATCTGTCATGCTCAACCGTGTAATCGAGATCTCCGTCCCATACGTTCTCATACCGGGTACTTAAACAGGTGTGTGCTTTGTAACCGTCCCTATGGCAACAGCGAAAACCAAACCTAAAAAGAGAAGATAAAACAGATAATCAATTTTCCATTATCTCTGCTCTTCGAATGGAATATTTGCACGAGCAAATTTACCTGCGATCACGGTGTGTTCCGCTGTACTCACTGGTGACTCCCGTGATGACGCCATTATGAGGGCATGTGAATCTCAGTGGTTGGTCAAAGTCATGCTCGTAATGGCCCGACCATGCGCATCTGCAGCTGGAACCAAGACAAAAACCAGAGGCACAATTGAAATAGTGGATACGGTCTTCTTTGCAGTTTCTGTGAATGCTTTTCCATTGGCTTAAGGAACGGCCTGTAAAAGTACCAAAATTACATGTTATCAGGTATGGCACTTGTCTCAATTCAGTTTTTATAACTGAATTAAACATTTCAGTAAATCATTAGTGAGGAATTTTGTCTTCAATCAATACTCGAGTTCATCGTCTATATGTTTCCGCTTACCGTGGTAGTTAATTGCCTCGGATCTGTCAATCAAGGTAGACCAAAAAACAAAGTTTTTTTTTTATTTTTTTTATTTTTTATTTTATTTTTTTATGCGAACGCACGCGAACGAAAAGAGCGAGTGTGAAAACGGTAAATTTGGCTGGGAGGGACACTAAACTTTACGTGGTTCTCTCGTCTCACATGCCCCATGTGTGATACACTCACTTCGCATGCGAGGATTTTCGGCACTGCGCGCGCGCCGAACGAAACGCGAAAAACGAGGGAGCTAAGGAGGAATGACTGGTGAATTTTATGAAGATGGTTCACTGCGTGGTTTGAGTGCCCCGAGATGCGACTGAAAGCTGGGAAGAGGCTAATTCACAACTTCACTTACCAGGTGGACAGGAAAACTTGAAAGTTTGATGCCAGTCGTTGTACCACTTGATTCCTGATGGAGAGCTACTGTCACAGGGCGGGGGACTGGCACGATGACGACGGCGTCTTCTACGGCGGCTACCACCCCACCATGGTTTTGCCTCAGAAACAGAAAACAGAAGCACTTCGGAGAGCATCAACAGGAGTAACAACTTAACCAACATCCTTCCAGTCATATGATCTAAAAAAA